ACAAAGTTCACAGTCTAGTAATTCAGTCAGTAACACAACCAGAGCAATAAGATGGTAAAAATATTTCTGAATATCCCAAGGTTACTGGTCAAGGAGCATTAGCGATGTGAAATGATAAGAGCTGTATCACAAATGCTACGAACACATGTGTATAGAAACAGATCCCCAGTGTCTCTAGAACCCCAGTCATTTAACAACAAACACTAAAAAGTTCTTTAAAATATTGCTTAACTACCCTTATTCTAAATTGTGTACTCTGATAAATGTGGAATTTTAATTTTTTTATATTATATTCACTTTCATACAACATTTTTAAAAATACAAGTATTCTTAATAAATAACAGAGGGAGTACACACCCTCTAGTTTACCTAATACTGCCAGTGGGCTTGGACCACTGCGAACGCGATTCTCTTTCGATCAGAATGAGGAGAGGTGGACGGTACCTCACCAGAACAAGGCATGTGAAATGACTGACCAAATAATCTACTGTCTCAGGATGCTGGTGCTCCTGAACTCTTGTGGAGATTTTCCAGGAACTTCCCCCAGCACTAAGGGCAGGTTGCCATTGTGCAGAACCAGAGTTCTGTGCTTTTCCTGGCCTCTGAAACACCAACATGGCTAATGTTGTCTCAGCCCAGTCGTCACGCCCGTGGTTCCCGCAGCTCTCACGCCCAGCACCTCTTAATAGCAACTCAGCCAGCTTCAACTCCAGGAGACAGTGAGAGCCCCATCTCACAGCACTGGAGACAGAACAGCCCAGAGTATACCCTAACTGGCATCTTGGAATCCAGGATATCTCCAAGTACATTCTAATTGTCATATACAGGAATAAGAGAAGGTAGAAATGGGCTTCTTCCAGGTCACTCACCTCATGAATCGTCAGGGTAAGAACTAGAATACCCAGCCGTACTGCCATCATTTGCTACCTGAAGAGCTCAAGGATGGGGGAAGTGCAAGGAGCAGAGGTGGAGGAGAGCAGTCAGCTGCAGTGGGATGAAAGGCACCACAGGCCAGAGGCTGAGAACTTGGCCAGTGGAGCCACACTGCCCGAGTTCAGAATTCTGGTTTTGCCATTATAAGCCCTGTTACCTTTGACAAGTTATTTATTCTTTCTGGGCCTTGGCATTCCTCATCTGTCAAATGGGGAGAACCTTACCTCATAGGGCTATTGTGAAAACTGTGGTGCTTGAGAAAATGCTAAAAGTTTAATAAATATTTGCTTTTTCCTAGATTTCCTAAATACACTGAGCCTTCCATATCTGCAGGGTTCCACATCCACATATTCAACCAACTTCAGATGGAAAATAATCAGAAAAAAATTCCAGTAAGTTTCAAAAAGCAAACTTGAATTTCCTGCACACTGGCACCTATCTACATAGCATTTACATTATACTCACAACTATTCACATGGCATTTACATTGTATTAGGTATTATAAGTAATCCAGAGATGATTTAAAGTATATGGGAGGCTGTGTGTAGCTTATGTGTAAATACCTCACCATTTCACATAAGGGACTTGAGTACCCACGGGTCTTAGTATCCATGGGGGTTCCACAACCAATCTCTCTTGAATACCAAGAAATGACTATATCTATTATTTTCAATAGCACTATTATACCTCTTTCTCAAATAAATTATAGTTCTCAAAGAAAAGTTCTGATTTCCACATAACATAAGCAATTGAAATATGAAAAGTTCTGTCAACCAACTATTTTAACCACATGCTTTCTCCAGAGAACAGATGGACTTTCTGAGACAAACTTGAAGGTGAATAAATAGACTCACTGTTTTGGCATGAGGCAATTAAGTCTTGGACACAAAAGGGATTTGTGCTCCTTTTGTTTGTTTTAAGGACTGTTATTCACATTATCCATGGAGTAATCTCTGCAATAAAATAGTTACTGCCTCAACTGGAAGATAATACATAATTCAGAAAAAGAGTCATGATGAGCATCTTTCTAGCTGTGCACTGTACAATACAGCAGCCAGTAAGCTACTTAAATCTAAGTATTCGAACTGAAATTAGTTAAAATTAAATAAATTTAAAATTCTGTTCCTTAGTCATACTGGTCACATATTAAGTGCTCAACAGTCACATGTGACTAGTGGATATAGAACACTTATTTTACCACAGAACTTTCTGTTGGGTAGCATTGAAGAATATAAACTGTAGTATCTGGTACCACTTCTCAACTAATCTGATTAGTAACAATCATTATAAAGTCACTGGTGAAATCAATCTTCAGTTTAGAGTCTAGTGTAATAATTAAGAAACCTTATTTTACAATTATTCATCTTCGTTATTCCCAGGCAAATTTTCTAGGCTATCACAT